CATGCCATGAGTACTGCATCATGCACCGTGGTGGCCAGTCATTGATGAGGCTGCTTGTTTTGGGCCACTGCTCAGAGCCTCCTTTTAAATGACTGCTGTGTACAGATGCATACCACACAGACGAAAGGCTTCAGTGTCTAAAAATGTCCTGGGAATCTCTTGGTGTCAGCATGCTCAAATCTTCTTCAATTTACTAGCTAGGTCTCACTGTTCTGGTAAAATGGATTGCCACTGCAAACCCAATTATTGGCTTGAGAATGGAGACGTATTGAGACGCTGGTTCAGTGTAAGTGGATTCTGTCTTACTGATGAACAGAGCTCAGTGCTTTGATATAGACTGGTGTGAAATTAAATAAGCAAGATTCAAAGAGAAGAGACTGAAAGAAGTGAGCAAGTTCATCCCTGACTGAGGAGCTGCTGAGGTCACCCTGGCCTTGTCAGCATGACTTAACCAATGGCGTATAGCTCTACAGTGAGGACGATAAGGACAGAGAGAGGGCAGAGAGGTGGTTAAGGGACTAAACAAGTAGCACATTGTCACTGTGGACCTGTCAGCTTGTGTTACAGCCAGTGAGAAAGTGGGACAAAGTGCTGCTCAGGCTTTTTGGAAATCAGGCAGCCCCTTAGCCATTGCTTGCCATTCTCAATGATGATCACAGGCAATACACTGGGGTTGCTAAAGGGTCTGGCTAACCCTAGCATGCAAGACTTTTAATAATAACCCCTGAAGTGGTAACTTACGGTAATAACATGTCCATGATCAACAATCTGAAGGTAGAGAGTAAATAGTTCTAACATTGAAAAAAATAAATCATCTGATCCTTACCAGGTAAATGTAGTCAAATAAAACCAGAAGAACACATGAAATAATACACAGTGCCATTATTTATTTAACTAAATGTAAGGAATTTTGGCCCACTGTTTTTCCACAAATGCTTCAGTTGTGTGGCGTTTGTGGTCATTCCTTTATGCACAGCTCTCTTGAGGTCCTACCACAGCATTTCAAGGTCTGGACATTGACTGGGCCTCACCTCTGACTCTAGAATAGTTTGGCATATATAAGAGTTTGTGGTTGACTCTGTGAATGTGGAGTACCAGGTGACCAGCATCTCCACTCATGTCTCATCTGTTCAGAGAACTTTGCTCCAAAAGTCTTGTTTGTTCAGCTTCCCATGGGAACACCTCCAATCATATTTCTTCAGAGTCTTTCTAACTGTACTGTCATGAACTTTAATATTTAATGTGCTAATTACAGCCCACAGGGTCTGAAATGGAGTTCTTGGGATTTCGCAGTTTCTCTTAGCATTGCATGGTGAGCTGAGCTCAGGTGAATTTCTGGGACTTGAACCATCTTTAATTTTCCAACTTGTGAATGGTATTTCTTACTGTAGATTATTCTAAGATAATACTTTAAACTATTTCATAACCTAGATAATTATGCATGGGCTACAAAAATGATGTAGTGGAGATATGATATTGTAGCAGCCTTACTCCGTGTGTAGCACAGCGAGAAGCTTGTTTGTGTTCTTTGCTGATATTCTAATGATGTTTGATTCCTTGGAAAGTGATTCTGTCACTACTTAAAGTGTGCTTGTAGCCGTAAAGCAAAGTGATCCACCCGCGATGCAGTAGTGTGGCCATGTATGCAGAATACATTTAACATTAAGCATGAAATCAGATGGAAACTCTAAGGTCTGTCGCAGTCGTGTAAGAACCGTGTTGTAGTCCTGACAGCACATATGTATGTGGGGGACATGTAAGAACAGAGCTGTGCTGAGCATGTGGAGCCTACTCCTCCATGTCTTTTGTTGTTCCTCATAATAAAATGAGTGAAACCATGGCAACAGCACAAGTTTCTCCCATAATAAAAACAGCAGAAGATTTATCCTTTGTCCCTTTTTTACTTGTCACACTGCTTTACTGTGACATTTGCAGCCTAGCAATGCAAAAATAAATGGACGGATGGAACGTCACCACATTTCTCCCCGGGTACTCCCGCTTCCTCCAACAGTCCAACGACATGCAGTTTGTGGGGATAGGTTAACTGATCAATCTAAATTGCCCAATGGTTGTTTGTGTCTGTGTGTTGGCCCTGCGACAGACTGGCGACCTGTCCAGGGTCTACCCCGCCTCTCACCCTATGACAGCTGGCGTAGGCTCCAGCGCCCTCCCGACCCTGAAAAGGATAAGCAGAAGCGAATGGATGAATATATGTAGATATATGTATATATATATATATATATATTCGTGCTGTTAGCGTTAATCTCGTTAAAATGACGTTAATGCCATAACCGCATTAACGCGGCAAATCTCGGTTAGCGAGTTAGCGCAGATCGCCCTGTGCTGGGGCTACACACGTTAACGAGCTAACCGTGCTAACGAGTTTACGCCGTGCAGCCACACGCTGCTATATATATATATATATTTATATTTGTTAATTTGAGTTTATTACAGTTTAGGTTTTAGTTTAGTTTCCCCAGCTTGCCTTGTTCCCCCACCATCTTTAGTACAGCGGCTGAAATGAACATTGCTTTCCCTTCTATTCACTTTTTATGTGTTTATGTATGCAAGAGACCGTATAAGTAACTTTTGATTTTAGGATCACAAATAGTTCTTTCAGATTATATTTGACTATTTAGCATTTGTACATGATCTCTTTCCTTATTGTGTCTTTCTTCATGCCTTCTCCTCCACTACTCTTTCTCCTCTCTCATTTCCACCTCATTGTCTTCCTCTTCAAGCTTCATCTTCTGCACCGAAGTCAGGAGATGAGGCTCTAAAAATAGTATCATTACTACAATGTACTGGCTTGTAGAAGACATCTTGAGGTTTTAATTACTAACTATACTGGTGTGGTTAAAGGTTTCCATACAGTCACAATGGGCATGAATGTCATGGTAATTTGAGTCTTTTAATGATTTCTTTGAGCTCTTCTCTTTCCAGGTAATCACTTTTTATTGTAAGTTATAAAAACAGGATTGATTGGTCAAAAACTTGGGGGAGAACTTTCGGTCTAGCAGAGTCAACATCAAAGTTTTGTACCTTCCGGTGCCAACAACAGTCCAGGCAGATCATCCCCCTCAAATTCCTCAGAGAGAGGGAATTCTCCCTGCTGTTAGTGTCTGAGTGCAACGGTCTATTCTACAATACATATATGTGTACAATAAAGGATAAAACAGTGACTTTTAGCCAGCATAGTTTGATCCTCATCATCGTCAGATAGGCTCATGTGGCTCTGTTTGAAAAACAGGCTTTAAAGTGGTCAGTGCAGCATATACGTGTTACTGAGCACAGTGCAGGCCCTGCATTCTTTTACTGATGTTACGACTATCACGGTGTGCAGTGTATTTCATCCCAGTACATCCCTACCAGTGTCACCATGGAAATACAGCTCCTCATATCAATGATGAGTAGCTGACGTGGTAGGGTCATCACTTCCACTCCACCTGGTGCCAGTTGCGTTGGTGTTGAGTTTTATTTGGTTATATTTTATCAGTTGTCTAATGTAAGAGATCTATCGTGTGGACTCTTTCAGTGGCTCCAGAGTGCGATGCTTTACATTCACCTAATGAGTGAAAGCAGCCTGGTTTGATCCCTGGAGGAACCAAATACACTGCTTAGTTAACTGTCCCAACAGACTGGGAAATAAAGTATTTGCAGGGAAAAACTTGGACATATTAGAGAAAGTGAGTTATGGCGCTATGATTTATGACAGGGGAAGTAAGAAAAAAATTGGCTCGGTTTGTCCCCAGTATACCTTTTTTGCTTTCTTCTGACCAGTGCTTGTGCTAGGTCCTCATCGGGGTCAGAGTTTTCTCCAGCACCAGGTCCCACTGACTACTTTGTCCTTTCACATATGTATCTATTGCTATTACGCTGCATCGGCTCACTCACAGCATGGCTGTTATGTAATTTCTTCTTCGTCTTCTTCTGTTTTACTGACAGCTGGCAACCCATTTAATTAGAGCAGGTAGTTGTACTGCCCTCTAGTGGAAGAGAATGTAATTGTTCTGCCCGATACCCACACCGATCGCATAGATTACTAATCAGGTGGAACCAGATAATCTTCCACGGCACACCTGATCATTTCTCACGGCACACCTATGTGCCGCGGTGCAGTGGTTGGGAAACACTGCCTTAGCTGAAGAGGAGTGACTGCGTCAACCACCGTACCTGTTTTTACTGGTCACCTCGGGTTTCTATCACTTTTCACTGGCTGCCTAAGCCACAGTAGTTTTTGTGTCTAAAAGCTATTATGTTCTCTAGTGGCATGATCTTTCATATTTTTCTCCTCATGAAGAGAAATCCCATATCCAGACCCAAACATGAGTGTGTCTGCTAACAGGAACTGTGTGTTTAATAAAGTGTGATATTACTCGGTGCCACACACATGTCAGTGATTCACTGACTGTTACACTGTTACACTGTTACACTGTTCTTTCATTCCACAAACACACACTGGCTTCTTTTGCATCAGTTACACATTCACCATTCTGCTGCTCACTGGCATCAGTGTCTGAAAACAATAATAAATACAGTTTATTTATAATTAATTTTAATGTTGCATTGAAGCTGCCTGACGTAAACAGCTGTTTAAAAAATTACTTGTTTGAAAGGTTTCCATCCGTCCCTGATTTAGACGTTTGCTCCAGCTTTTCAGACCTCACCCTGGGGACTGGAAGACTTCTATAGTGTAAGGATCAGTGGCCTGCCATGTTTGTCTGTAGAAGCTTTCTTTGGCTAATAGTCAACTTTAGAGAGTTGTATAGAAAGTGGGCTCAGTCCTGTTTTCAAAAGCATACATATTTGCGCATAGACAGGCTTGAGTCCTTTTGTGTATTCAGCAGCTGTGTCACTAGTGATGGGGCCCACTGAGAGAGCACTGGTACGAATGACTGACAAAATAACACCACCCACACTAGCAGCACCCACTCACAGGTAAAGTGCTGCTCCTTTCAGTAATCTGTTTTCTTTGTGTATGTGGCCCCTATTTCTCCTAGATCACAGTGACAGAGACTGTGCTGTTTCTGGTCCAGTACACGTCCAAGGAGTTTGACCGTTTAGAGAAGACAGTGGCCACCGGAGACTGCTGTTACCTCAACCCGCTGGTACGCAGGACATTCCGCTTCCTCGGTAAGTTTTAGGCGTGTGTATGCTTGTTTCTGTTACTTCACCTGTCAAAGCTGAATGTTTTTCTATAAGTCTGTGAGAAAACTGGCCACATGTGACATTCACATAATAAACTAGTTAGTTGAGTTTGTTGATCAGGTCCTTTGATCAGCAAACACACTTTTTCCCACTAAATTGAAAAACTAAGATCGACTACAGGAACAGCACTGATGTTTTGGACGCTAGAAACAACTTTTCTTTCACTCAACCTGAACTAATCGTCTCAGTAAAGCTCCACCTGTTTGCTCTTTGCATTGTGTAACCGTGCCAGCGTCATCATTGCTGCTGCTGTTGGGTTATCAGTGTTTCTGATTAAAACTGAGGGCTCCTGAATACGTTTGTGTTGCAGGTCTGTTTTTAGTGGCAAATGTGGGTGCGTTTGCATTTCCACAGTGACAGTGGTGCTCTACAGAGCCATGCCTTAAACGAAGAGAAAGACCTCTTGGATAAGTATTATTTAAACCATGAAAGGACATTCATTACCTTTAAGTCCAACTACTTGTTCTAGCCTTGCCAGGAGAATGTTGTGATCAACCGTAGGGCTGTGCGATATGACCAAAATCTCATATCCCGATATAAGACATCTATCATCCCGATAATGATATACATCACAAGAATTTAACATTTTCTGTAAATTCTGTGAATCTCAGGCAGATTGACTTGCATTGAAGTGTTTCCAGCTGGGTGTCATGTACCTGGAGTTGAGACTTTTAACCAAACCATGAAACGATACATTTTTAGTTGTAACGGCCGTTGTTTTCTTTGTGAGTATTTATTACACGGCGTGCTGCCGGGAAAAGCCTGCTCTAACGTTTGAGTCTAAGGTTTATTTTTTAGCACCCGACGGCTCTTTTTTGCTTCTCATCCATAAATGCTCTCCATACTCTTTCATGGGATTTAGTTTATTTTGAAAAGTCTCAACAGGATTTTGAGCTTTATTGTGAAAGGTATGCAAAACAAACAAGCAGACGGCGGAGCCACGCCATTTTTTTTACCGTCTTGGTTGCTAACGACAACGTGTAAAAACAGGCACTTGTCCGTCCGTAGTGTGGTTATATTAAATATAAGACAAAGAGAGAACTTTAAGAAACTAATATAGCCACTACAGTGACCATCAAAATGATGAAAAAATATTGACGTAAACAGTTTCTTTTGCGACACCACGAAACAAACGATAGCGTAAAATGAAACGATGGACGTTTTTATATCGTCAGCTGATATATATTGTTATATCGAACAGCCCTAATCAACCGTATCGTTAAGTCTAATAAAACTAGGACCACTGAGCGCCCTGAATCAGCAGTTAAAAGGAGGTCATTAAAAACTCTTAATAGCGCTGTCTCGGTACTGTGGCGTGGTTTAAACCCAGATTGGAATTTCTCGCTGATTCCATCAGTCTCTAACAAGGTCAGCAATTTATGAAGGACTATTTTTTCCGAGATTTTCCAATAATGGCGGTTGAGGCTGTGATGCTGTGTTCTTTGACCAGGAGAGATCTTCTGAGATGTGCACACACAGGAACTTGGTGCTGCTTACCCTCTCCACAGCAGCACTGTTGATGGTTAGTGGGGTGTGCAGGGTGTGAGTTCTCCTGAGGTCTGTGGTGATCTCCGTAGTCTTCTCCACATTCAGGGAAAGGTTGTTGTTGCTGCACCACTCAGCCAGATGGTTAACTTCACTCCTCCATGTCTCATCGTTGTTGCTGATGTGACACAGCTGTGTCTGAGGCCAACTTGATGTAGCTGTGTGACGGTGTGCAGTTGAGAAGGGGGCTCAACATACATCATTGGGAGCCCACGTATTCAGTGTTCTTGAGCTAAAGGTGTTGTTGCCGACCCGTACTATCTGCTGTCTTCCTGTCAGGAAATCCAGCAGCCAGTTACACAGCGAGGTGCTGAGCCCCACCAGATCCAGTTTGTTAATGAGTTGCTGGGGAATGATTGTGTTGAATGCTGAAGTCAATGAACAGCACTCTAACATATGAGTCAGATGTGTGAGGGCTAACCATCTCACCCTCAACGTCGCAAAGACAAAGGAGTTGATAGTGGACTTCCGGAGGTGCAGAGAAGTACACACCCCCATCACCATCAACGGCGCTGCTGTGGAGAGAGTGAGCAGCTTCAGAGCTGCTTTTCTACACATCAGAGCTGCTTTTCCACCATCCCTGGACTCGCACCAGTTTGCATACAGGGAGAACCGGTCAACCGAGGATGCGATCGCCACAGTGCTGCACACATTACCGAAGCACTTGGAACACAGGAACACCTATGCACGGCTCCTCTTTGTAGACCACAGCTCGGCTTTTAATACCATCCGGCCATACAAACTCCGTCCCAAACTCCACCAACTGGGAGTTAACTCCTCTCTGTGCAACTGGATTGTGGACTTCCTCACTAACCGTAGACAGAGTGTCAGAGTGGG